GCTCCAACAGCGATGTTGTAGAACTTTCCTACCTTCAAGGAAGAGGTACTTATAGCATTATTAGTAGAGATTTTTTCGCAATATCAAGTCTATTTAAGCTCACTCTCTTTTCACTCAATGTAATTGTAACTATCGATTTGCTAATTCAAATCTTTATGTTGTTCTTCAAGTTCATGGAAAGCCTATTGACCAAAATGGAGCGGTGTGATCCATCTTGGTCGCACAACCTCACGCGTCTCAGGAGCGTGACCCACCCGTGGATCACTGTGATAATGTAAGCCAATAGTTGCTTCTCCTGAATTTTCCCCTGTACATAGGTTTGGAACTGAATCCCGAACGTCTACGCAAAAATGACGTTACCTAGACCAGTAAATCCGTTTATAAGGGTGCGGCACTGCAACTCTATAAAGAAAGAATGATCACTGGTACCTCTTTCTTTTCACAAATGTGCAAAACTTTTTAACGCATTAGCTGATCCTATTATTGAAAATCTAGTTGGTGTTTATTAATTTTTTCCGTGCAATTTTTAAAATGTGATATTTACAGCAGTCATGCATTTGCTTTAATTTTTAATCTTTTCCTCACAACTCTACTCCTCTCCGCCCCTTCGCCTTCTAGTATCTATAGAAGAAACGAAAAAAGACCTACCTCTGGAAAGATATCAGCGTTAGTGTCATTTACTGGATCTGCACCCCAAAATTGACAGTTTGGCATCGCTGCCCGCATCGACTTCTCTGCTTCGACGTCCTTACCAATACCCAATGAGATAATCGTGCAGTCACGAGAGTTTGAAATCTACAGGATGGTTCTTTTCAGAATAATCAGTAAAGTGTGGATGAACCTACATATGCTCTAGGCATAACGTGATATTTCAATTCGTCTGTATTTGAGAAACCTTGAACGGGTAGACGACTTTGCGGGGTGCATTTGTTCACATAATATGGGAAATTTGTCCATTGCTGGAGAGAAGGTTGTAAACTTCTGGGCTAAGAATGTATGATGAACGAAGTGATACCTTTTCCAGATTATTGGAATTGGCATCGACATTAGCTAGCATGCATTCTCGAGAAGTCTTGAAAAAATCTGATCGGTCCTGAAAGTTGGTCGGTCATGCTTTGCTAACTAACATAAATATTAGCTTACCGAGCCCGCTTGCAGGTACAAAACTAGCGCGAAGAGGAATATACCCATGTATACACATCCCATCAAAATCTGGCGGTAGAGCGTAGATGAATTGCGCATTCTAGAGTAAAATCTTTTATTTTTATGGAGGAACATGACTTTTGGGGTAAAATAGCTATTTCTAATTTCTCACGGATCTATTTAAAGTAAAGCAAAATTGAGTAAAATGGAAGCAAAACAGCGAGTACCTAGTACCTAGTGAGCGAACAAAAGTGACAAAAGCAAATGAATATCTCGCTGAGCTGGAACCCGGGATCGCATAGGTTATCTGATCTGGACCAGGTTTTCGCGAACAACGGCGAAATCTTGCGAATATTCATCGAAGAGACTTCAAGGAAATGTGCTATAAATTTGAAACATTAAAAAATTATAACATGAGCACTTTCAGGAATTTTTTTCTTAGCAAAATTTTCTAGTTGATTTTATTGTTAACAATCTGTATTCGAATTCACTCAAAAATTGATCGAAGGAGTTTCACTTTGTGTCACAATTCTCAGAGATTTTTGCAATTTTATAATGAATGTTGGAAAAATGGAAGAATTATGAACCTATTTACATCTTATAATTTCACCAGTGCTTGACCTCTCCTTCGGAGACGGCTCGCAATGTTCGTGTATTAAAGTAAAATTTCTTGTTTTTAGAACATTAGCAATAAAGTTCTCATCATTAAATTCAAAACCATCAGATGCGTTTCTGTGCGAAAGGTTTGAAAGTTCGATCTCGCCTTTCTACGCCATTGAAAAAAAGAGGCACAGAGGCTCTTTGATCCCACCACTGTGCCTCCACATAGCAACACGAAATGAACAACCAACTTAGCATGTTCTTTACAGCAAAATTGCTCATGTTCACTGAATGGTTCGCAGTTGATATGATAATGATTGATAGCTGCTCCTTGACTTTCATAGGACAAATGAACTAATTTCCTGACAGACAGAGGAACACACAC